CCCCCCCACCCCCCCCCCCCCCCCCGCCCCCCCCACTCTTTCTCTCCACGCTGCTCTTCCGCTCTCTACTTTTCCTTCTTCCCCCTCTCTCCCCTCTCTCCCCTCTCTCCCCTCTCTCCTCTCCATCCATCCCTTTCTCCCCTCCCTTCCCATACATCCCTTCAGAGCAGAGGATGCAGGGAAGAAAAGAGGGAGCTTTTAACTCTTCTCAAAACCAGTGCAGGAGTTAATGAGCTTTTCTTGTAGCGCTGCTGCTGCAAATCTGCTCGCATTTTGGGGAAGTAGCTCTGGGGGGACTTGGTCTGATCAGTGAAATCATCAAGGCTGCTTGGTGAGGAGCCCGCCAGCCCTGTTCATCAGCCACTGGTGTTCCAGTCACAAAGGCAGCGTTCTGTGCCCCGTTTGCTCGGCCTCCTGGGTCGGTGCACATCAAGAGCTTCACCTCTGTGCCTGGCTGCTGCGTGCCCCAGTTCTGGGGGCTGATCCTGGCCGAGGTGCTGCAGTTGCTGTAGTTTGTGCTGCAGCTGCAGCACGGAACTGGGGAGGGCAAAACAGCCCCCAGCTTCAGCTGTTGTTAGGGGCGGTGCTCAGCCACTCGGTGCCTTACTGCTGGCTGATCTGCTTTCTAACGAGCTCTCCTCACCTCCTCAGGATCACGACTTCTTCCAGCACGTGGAAATGCACTTGAGATCTGAGCATCCTCCTCTCTGTGGGCGAGACCATCTCAGCTTCCGCTCCTACTACTTCCCAGTGAAGGTAAATCCGAGTGCTTGGGCTCAGCTGGTCGCACGAGCTGTGGTGTGGGATGCAGAATCTCACAGGCCTTGCACAAGGTGGCTGGGAAAGCCTGCTAATAGTGACTGGTGGTAATAGAAGCTACTGCTGCTCTCTGTCCAAGCAGAGAAGGGTGTGCTTGTGCTTGGTGAGCTTGCAGGGCTCTGAGAGCTCTGACACTAGTGATGGTGCTTGCTTTTTGCTCACCTTGTGCAGCCTCCAGCCTTGCCTGTGCTGTGCCTGCACCCTCTGCTAGCTGAGACGTCGGATCCGTCTTCCCTTGTGTGATTCTTCAGCTGATCCAAGGCTTTCTGGGTTTCTCCTTCATTAATCAGGCTGGCCAGTAATTAGTTTGATGCTAACTGCTGCTATTCAGCAGATGAGGTCACTGAGCATGCTCTTGTTTCCAGGACGGGATTAAGAACCTCCTGGGAACAAACTGTTTGTTGCCATTTTTCCCCTTTTAGGCAGGGTTCAGTGCCTCTGTGCTGTGTCGATTCAATGCTCTCCTCCTTGCTTCTCCAGAATGTGATCGATGGGGACCTGTGTGAGCAGTTCAACTCCATGGAGCCCAACAAGCAGAAGAATGTGGCCGAAGAGCTGGACCGGACCCCACCCGAGGTGTCCAAGAAGCTGGAAGACATCCGCACACGCTATGCTTTCTGAGCAGCAGCTGGCAGGAGCAGAGCTTCTTGCTGGGCTCCTATGGACGCTCTTCCAAGCACAGTTGGGAGGAGGAATGTGTGTTTTGTTTCCCTTTTTCTAAATACTGATTTGCTCCTCTTGGTTTATGTTTCAAAGCAATGCGATTCCTCCGGTAAATGCCAGTATCTGATAGTAGGTCTTCCAACACATCCCACTGCTTACGTGAAGGCTCGTGCTGTCCTGGGTTCCAGCCAGAGAGAATCTCTCTTGGGAAATGCCCAGGGGAGGATGTGGTTTGACCCCTCAGCTGATCCCTGGATCAGCTCCTCAGTGTCATTCACCCTGAAGGCCAAAGGAGGCCAAGGGTGACTTGTCCTGAGGGCGGATCAGGCTGAGACCTGCAGGACCAGCTGGGCTCTCCCCATCTTTTTGGTAAAGGAAACAGCTTGGGCCTGATGGAAAGCTGCTGGGTTCCATTCAGTGGCCGGTGGGGAGAGGTGTGGGGTTCCCCCAGCCCTGGGAGCAGCCTGGGGGACGTGAGGCTGGGGGAGGCTGCGCTGCCATGCATGTCCCTGGTGTTGCCTTCTGAGCAAGTTTTGGATTCACCATTTTTGACTGTTTTCTCTGTAAATAAGAGTTTTGTACAATGTTGTCTCTTGGGGGCGGGGAAGAGCAAGGCCTGAGTCTGGGACTTGATTTGTTTCATAATAACTTTGGCAAGAGCAGTGTCTCCAAGCTGTGACTGAGTAGCACACGAAGAATAAAAGCCTGTTTTTTAACTAGTGTGGCTCCGGGGCTCGCTCCTCCACGGCAGCTGTGCTGACCCGGGGATGCAGGTGGGCTGGGGGCTTTCTTGCCCCATCCTTGGTGCCCTTCTTGGCCTCCTGCTTAAGGATGGGGGGCACGGGACGAGGCAGCGCTGCACCCTTCACCCCCAGCACCCTGCACACCGCTGCTTACCCTGCCCGGAGGCCGTCGTGCATCCAGGCTTTCCAAACGGGAGGTGGTTTGCTGCGCGTTCTGCCCGCCAGCCTCTGCGCCCAGAGACGCCGTCGGTGCTGGGCAGCGCCGCCCGGGGCCGCAGGCGGTTCGCCTCGGGGCAGCGCCAGCGGCGGGCAGGGGATGCAGTCGGACGGCTTTCTCCCAGCCCGCCGCGGATGCTGGTGAAATCCCTCTGGATGGCGGACCGGGGTCCTTCCTCCTCTCCTGCAGCCCAGCTCGCGGTGCCGGAAGGGGACGCGGGGGCTGTGCCCGGGGCTGCTTGGCAGCGCATCCGCTGTGGCCCTGACGTGGTGCCAGGGGAATCCCAGAGCTGCTCGCGGGCGGCCGCGCATTCCTTCCCACGCCTTTCCCTGGGAGCGCTGACCTGAGTTCGGTGCCTCCTTCCTCCCCCCCGCGCCCCGGGCGGCCCTGCGCCAACTGTCCTAAAGGCTTTGGGATGGGGGGTGGGCTCAGATCAGCGTGCGCCCCTTTGAACAGTGGGAGACCTTCGGGGCATCCCGCGTGGGCTGTGCCGTCCATCCGAGCCCATCCGAGCCCACCCAGGGCAGCGGCGGCCGTGCATCCCCGAGGTGCCGGCGGGGGTTCGAGGGCACCGTCGGCTTCTGCGCTCACCCCGCGGGCTGGGGGGGTCACCCAAGCGGTTCTCTCCGTGCCCCCACCCCCAACCCGACACTACACGCCCCCGCCGCCGCTCCCCGCTCCCGGCCCGGCCCCGCCGCCGCCCCGCCCGCCCCCCGCCCGCCTCCCGGCCCCGTCGCCGCCGCCACCGCCCGCGGGGAGACGGCCCGGAGCGCAGAGCCAGGTGGGTCCGCAGGGCACCGCGAGTGGGGCGGCGGGACGAGGAGGAGGGGGGTTGGAGGGCGAGGGACACTGCGCGGCCACCACGTGGGGACATTGCGCATGGAGACTGCGTGGGGACGGGGCATCGCGTGGGCGCCGCTGCCCGGGGACACGGTGTGGCCCCCGTACAGGGACATGGCATAAGGGACCTGGCACAGGGACGTGGCACAGCCCTCACCTGGGAATGTGACACCGCGTGGGGACACGGCGCGGCCCCCCGCGTGGGATAAAGGAGCGGGATGCTGCGTGGAGAAGCGGTATGGCCACCACTTGGTGGAGTGCACTGCGTGGGGGGATGCTGGGGACGCGCCCGTGGGGGGGCATGGCACCAAACGCTGCGTGGCAGTGTGACACTGAGGTATGGAACAGGGACACGGCATGGGGACATGGCACAGCCCCCAAACGGGGACGCCGTAAGGGGACAGTGGGAATAGGGACGCTGAGTGTGGACAAGGCATGGAAACCTGACACAGTACTCGGGGACAAGGCACAGGGTGCTGCATAGGGACACTGTATAGGAATATGGCATGATTTCTGCTTGGGGACATGGCACAGGGATGTGACACATGGGGACCTAGCAGGGGGCACTGCCTGGGGACACAGCCTGGCCCTATCTGGGTGGGAATGTGGTGCAGGGATGTGCCCCTCCTTTGGATGGGGATGCTGTGTGGTCTCTTTGCTTGGGGACGTGGTGAGTCCGCCTTCATCTGACCATGGGGACACCACCCCTCCATTTGTGAGGGACACTGTGCAGTGCTATCACCGTGTGACCCCGCCTGGGGTCCTGGAGGCTGCAGCTGGGGCTCTTCCCCCCAAAGCTCCCACCCCACACCCAAGGGACCTTGTATGGGACTGTCCCATTCCTTGTGATATCCCAAGGACACACCACCTCCCCACAGGACAACCCAGCTGTGGCGGCCGGGGAGGGGGCCTGACCCCCCCCTATGGCAGGGGACAGCCGTCGGGGGCCACCGCAGAGCACCATCCCTTATCAGCCCATCCCAAGCACCCAGGAGGCCACCTGCACCCATCAACCATGTAGGCTCCACAGCTGGTCACCATGTACCAGCGCTGCGCGGCTGTCCTCTGTGAGTACACATCACTGGGAGGTGGGGGGGACACCCCTGGAGGGGGTGGGCAACGGATGTCCCCATGGAGGGGTCCCCATGGGGTGATGCTGCTCTGCAGGTGTCCTGGCCGTGTTGGGGCTGGAGGTGGCTGCGCTGGGGGAATGTGAGCTCGCCCGACTGCTGCAGGACAAGCTGCGGTATGAGATGCGCCTGCAGTACATGGTACGGCCCTGTCCCCTGCCCTGCCACCCTGCCATGTGTCCCCAAGTTCCCCGTGCCCAGAATTGGGTGTGCAGTCAGAGCAGCTCTCTGGTGACCCTACCTATAGGGTGGCCCCCAAAGCAGGGTGCCCGCTGTGGGCACAGTTGTGGAGACCTTGGTGGCACAGTTGGTGGGACAACAGTGACCCAGCTGGTGGGATATCAGTGGCACAGTTAGTGGGACACTGGTGGCACAGATATGAGGATCCTGGTGGCACAGGTGTAGGGACCCTGGTGATGCAGATATAGGGGTTCAATCGGCACAGATACAGGGACCCTGGTGACACAGCTAGGGACCCTGGTAGCATAGATATGGAGATGCTGGAGGCACTGCTGGTGGGACACTGGTGGCACAGATATGGGGACCCTGGTGGCACAGCTCTGGGGACACCGGTGGCCCTCACACTCCTCTCCACCTCTCCAGAAGCACAACTTCCCCATTGACTACACTCTCCGAGTGCAGCACGAGGAGGTGCTGCGGATGGCCAACGTTACCCGCCTGGTGAGCTCACGTCGGGGACACTCAGTGACAGTGAGGGGCAGGGAGGGGAAGTGGGAGTCTCCAGCTATCAGGGTCTCACCCAACACCACATCCCCCTTTCTCCCACAGCGTGACAAAAAGGTATCAGAGGCATCCCTGCGCTACCTGTGGTTCCACGCCTGTTCCCAGGCAGTGCTGCACATCCTTGAGGTGCTGCCGGAGAAGCACCCGTCCCGTGGGTACACGCAGGAGCTGAGCCAGCTTTTGGATGCCCTGGGCATGGAGTACAGTGGGTACCGGCAGGTAGGGGATGGTGTGGGTGCAGGGGGATGTGGGTGCACCTCATCCCACACATCCCTGCAGTGAGGTCGACTCCAGATGTGGGGCCGTCAGGCAGTGCCAGGGGGGGGCTTCTTATCTGGCATTGGTGGTTCAGTGGTAGAATTCTCGCCTGCCACGCGGGAGGCCCGGGTTCGATTCCCGGCCAATGCAGTGTTGTAAAGCTTTTGCAACCTTCTTTCTTGGCCCCTTCCCCCCTCGTTCTTTGACAGCCCCTCTCTGCGTTCCCCATGTCATGGGGAACCATCCTCTTTGCCCCTCTTTGCCCTTGCCAGCTTTTTGTGTTAACTCTGAAACCTAATGACAGCACCTGCTTAGCCACAGAGGTGGGAGTCCCCTCCTGTCCCAGCAGTGCCTGCCCCACTGCTGCCACCCCATCCCAGCTCTGCTGCAGTGCAACAAAACCCGTGGGCAAGCACTGCAGAACCCCAAACATCTGGCATTGGTGGTTCAGTGGTAGAATTCTCGCCTGCCACGCGGGAGGCCCGGGTTCGATTCCCGGCCAATGCAGAGAAAAGCAAACTTTTTTTTGCCCCCTCCTCTGGATTGAGCAGAGAGACCCAGAGTGTCCCTTTTTACTCCATGCCGTGGGATGTTGGTGGCAGTGGGTCGCAGTGCTGGGGGTCAGCCCTGCTGTGCGCAGCCCTACCCATGCAATGACTGCGAGTTCTAATGGACCCTGATAACTCTGAAGCCTAATGACAGCCTCTCTTCACCAAGCTGGTTCTCAGGCAGAGGGAAATGGGTGCTGTGATGCACTGAGAGCTTGGAACCTGAGAGGGAAATGGGTGCTGTGATGCACTGAGAGCTTGGAACAGGAGCTGTGTGCACTGGAGTTCCCCCGGCCGGTTGTTGCCCCAGGGTTTGGTGGGGAAATATTGTTGGTAGGAGGACGGTTGGGCTTGGGTGATATTGGAGGTCTTTTTATGGGACACGGTGCCTGGGTGGGAGCCAGCAGTGTGGGGAGCCCCGCATTCTGGCATTGCTTGTTCAGTGATAGAATCCTCCTCTGTCATGTGGGTTCAACTCCTGACCAATGCAGCACCCCAAACTCTTTGCCCCCATCGACGACGTGGCAGTGCCACATCTCATGTCCCCGCAGAGCGACGTGGACGCGGCGGTGGCCGACCTGGTGAAGCAGCTGCACAGCGGCGATAGCCGCCTCAAGGCCGTGCGCCCCAAAGCGCTGCTGGACAACTGCATCAAGGTCCTGCGGATGCTCTTCGGGGCACACTGTGAGTGCTGGGGAGGGACAGCAGGGACGGGGGTCTCCGTGGTCCCTTTCCCCTTGTGACCCCTGTCTCTTCTGCCCAGGTCGGTGGGACTCCGCTTAACGCCGACCCATTGAGGAGGATGAGGATGAAGGCACACGTGGGGGGTGATGGCAGTGCCGGCTCCCTTTTCTTTTGTACAATTTTTTAATTCCCACTCCCTCGGCTTTCATTAAGCACCAAGTAACGTCCTAGCGCTCGAATCTTAACTGCAATAAAGAGAAGCAGAGCCATCACGCCTGCCGCGTCGTTTGGCGAGCCTTTTCCCTCCCTTTGGCTTTCTGAAGGAAATTCGGATATATAACTCCAGATGGACCAGATGTTGGCTATCTTTGTGTCTTGCCGTGACCCCAGCTTTCCCAGAGCATCCCAGTGGCAAATAGTTGGCCTCACGATTCTCCGAGAAACCTCTTGAGATGTCTCTGCGTCTCCTGACTTGCTATGGGAGGATGCTCACGCACCCCCGAGCTGGGACTGCTGAAAATAAAAGCAACCTCACAGATGCTGGAGTGGGAAGAATGTTTGCTGGTGGGAACAGCAGAGAACAAACCATCATCAGCGCCAGGCAGGCGGGATGCCTGATGAGGGGAGCTGGGATCAGTGGGTGAGGGCTGTGGGATGCCTGAGGGCTGTGGTTTCAGGGCTCCTGCTCAGTGCAGTGGGTGGCTCCATCCAGCCTAATGTCTGTGTTTGCCCTATAGAATATGCATCCTTCCCCAAGGACTTCCTCCCCATGGCCATCCTATTATGGACGTCCCTCCCCATATACATCCTTTCTTATGGATGCTCATCCCCATGGGCATCCCCTGCCGTATGTATTGGACATCCCTCCCCACAGACATCCCTCTCCCTGGACATCAACCCCCATGGACACCCTTCCCAGTAGCTATCCTTCCCCATGGACATTTCTCACCATCCGTATCCCTCTCCATCGACATCCCTCACCTAGGACAACCATCCCCGTGAATATCCCTGCCCATATACACCTCCCCATGGACATCCCTGGACATCCCACCCATGGACATCCTTCCCCGTGGACACCCCTCACCCTGCACATCCCTTCCCCATGGACATTCATCCTCATGGCCATCCCTTTCCAAGTCCAACCCTTTGCCAGCTCGGCGGCTCCATCATATAGGGCTTCCTGACTCCATCAAACAAGCCTGTCTGTGGCCATCAGCAGCTTTTATTGAGCTCAGCAGCTGGGGACATGGATGCTGTGGTCACCATGGCAGCCTCTGTCCCTTCCAGTCCCAGAAGGTGCCATTGCTGTTGGTGGAGAGGTTGGCGAGGACTTGCAGGATGCCTTGGGTGCTCTCTTCCAACGTCACTGGTCCCTGTGGAGTCAAGGATACGGGGTGAGCCCTCAGGACATGAGAAAGGACTCTCACTCCTGACAACCTTTTATTGGAAAATTCAATTAATGGTGTATAATTAATAATCCATCAATCCCTCCACACATTGGGTCTCTGGTCTCACCAGCACTGGGCACCGCTGTGGGGTGGGGAAGCCCTAAGGTGCTGCTTCCCCTTGTGTTTGTGATGTAGCGCTGAGCGTGGGGCTGGGGTGCCCTCTGCTGACACGCAGGCTCTGATGGAAATGGGAAAATAATGCCAGAAATTGGAGGATTTGGGGCGAGAGCTGAGAAGTGTGGCACAGCACCCATGTGAACCAGGCGGGTTCTGTGAGATGCCTCTGGGGATGGGTGGCTGTGGGGAAGGGGTGCCCATAGGAGGAACATCTGTGGGGAAGGGCGTCCTTAGGGAAGGGGTGTTCATGGGGAAGGTTTGCCCATGGGAGGAGCATTAATGGGACGGACTTCCATGGAGAGGGGTGTCCATGGGTAGAATGTCCATGGGAAAAGGGATGTCCATGGGGACGGATACCCATGGGAGGGATATCTATGGGTAAGGTTGTCCCTAGGAGGTATGCCACACAGAGTAGTGGGTAGGATGTCCATGGGGAGAGAGATGAATGGCTAGGATGTCCATGGGGAGGGATATGAAGGGCTAGAATGTCCATGGGGAGAGATATGAAGGGCTAGGATGTCTATGGGGAGGGATATCTATGGGTAGGATGTCTGTAGGGAGAGACATCAGCAGGTAGAATATCCATGAGTAGAATGCCCAAGGGTGCAGATGCCCACTGGGAAGGGATGTCCATGGAAAGGGGACGTATCGATGGGTAGGATGTCAATGGGGATGAGATGCCCGTGGAGACATTATCAAACCAAGATGGTGGTGGCCTCCACATCCGCCCCATCACTCACCATCCCATCTCCTGGTGGCGGTACCACACAGCCAGGATCCACGGACACGCAGAGGATCCCGCTGTCACCATACTCCAGAGCCAGGCACTTGGTGAGCATGTTGAGAGCAGCCTAGGGGGGATGCCACCATCACCAACTTGGAAAGGCACCACTGCGGCCAAAGGTGGGACTCCAAAGAGCGTGACCCCCAACCCTCACCCCACACATACCTTGCTGCAGCGGTAGGACACATCCTGCCTCTCAGCCCACGCCTCCACCACCTCGATGGAGCCCAGGACGCTGGAGATGTTGATGATGGCTGCTCTGCCACAGCTCAACCCCTGCCCACCGTGTGCCTCTGCAGCTTCCTTCAGCAGAGGCATGAACGCCTGCGGGGTATGGGCATCACCACCCCATCCCCGTCCTCATCCTTTGGGGTAGGGGTGCACATAGCCCTACCTGGCTGATCTGCAGGGGCCCGATGGTGTTGGTGGCGTAGATGAGGGCCATGTTTTCAGCTGTCTCAGTGGCCAGAGTGCTGCGACGCCTGGCCCCGGCGCTGTTGATCAGGAGGTTGAGGCCAGAACCGCGCAGCTCCTCCTGCACCCTGCCCACCGCAGCCTGGATGCTGCTGGGGTCTGTCGTATCTGTGCGGGACATGGGGGCATGCTGGGGGCTGTGCCGGATGCGGGATGCTTTGAGGTGGCTCCTGGTCATCCATCTGGTCCCAAAGGAAGAGCTGCTCTTGACTGAGTCACACTTTCTGCAGGGTGCACCTACCTAGAGGCAGGATCACGACGCCGGGGTTGCACAAAGCCATCTCATTGAGAGCCTGAAGGGAGAAAAGGAGGCTCATGGAGTGGGGGGCAGCCCCATGCCCATGCAGCTAGTCGGTGACACAACCCAGGGGATGAGCACAGGGGAGATATTAGGGGTCAGTCCCTGCTGCTCCACAGCTCCCACTTACAAATCCACTACCTCCCAAACCACCACCTCCCAAACCATCACCTCCAAATCCACCACCTCCCAAATCCACCACCTCCCAAACCACCACCTCCCAAACCACCACCTCCCAAACCACCACCTCCCAAATCCACCACCTCCCAAAACACCACCTCCCAAACCACCACCTCCAAAATCCACCACCTCCAAAACTACCACCTCCCAAACCACCACCTCCCAAATC